CATTTGATTGTAAAGGCTGCTAAATTAAACCAATATATGTATTTTAAAGGTATCTTGACTTTAAAATTTATGTCTAAGGATATGTTGCTTTGGAAAAGAGGTTCTGCTTTTGTTTCTACAGAAGATGAGAACCTATGGATTGCTTCCAGGCAAATATGGTTTGATCAGCCAAGACCCCCTGAAAGGTCTCCAATGACACCATGATCCAACATCCAAAATTAGCCTCAGGGCAACTGGCTGAGCTGATCTATCCTCACAGGCCACCACAGCCAGGATTTAAGTATAATTCTTAATTTTCTCAGGATCCCCATAAGATTGCCAGTAGCCCCAATCAGCAGGAAGTAGTATGAGAAGCTATGCCCCAATTCTCAAAATATTGTTTATAAATGTTTTATTTTTATTTAAAGGGGGTTCATCATAAATGCAATCTCTTTCTAAAGAAGAAAAGGGGATATTATAGGTTTGATAGCATGAAATAGTAGATTATTGAATCTACTTTTAAAGAACAACTTGTTTAAAATGTTTTACAGTGCTATGGATTTTAAAAATTAAAGTTCATTTTGTTATACTGGATGTATATTTTAACACTTGTTTAAGGTACTATGTTTATGCAATTCTTTTAAAATTGTAAAATATAATTAAGAAATACAGATTAATAGTCATCTATGATAATCAAACTTATAGTCATGTTAGTTAGGTTTTTTAGGTATATAAAGGTATAATTCAATTAGGTAGGTAATCTTCAAACACTTCAAAGACCTACAGAATATGGCATTTAAAATATTTTAAAAACATAGACTTTCTGGAAAGTCTATGGCAGCACCATTTACTTCAAAGAAGATGATGGACATTGAAGAAACTCCATATGGAATTTGCTTTCCTTATGGCTAAAGTTAGCCATTTGGGCAAGAAACTGTTCTTGACTGGACTGCTTGATAAAATGTTGTATCAACTGGACATGCAGGACCCATAAAAAATGACCACTAAATTTTGCCAAAACAAGGCAAGATGGTCCTTCAGGTTCCTGCTTTGCAGAGGAGACTGCCCAACATTCTACAGGACACAGGGAGAAGTGACTGAGAGACTCTAGGCCTATAGGCTGAAGATGAATGCCCCAACACTGCAGAAGAAGTTGGGGGGGTGAGTGTCCAGGCAGCTGTCTCTGTCATTCTAAATTTTTGGAAGTTGGTTACAATGCTCTTCCTGTTTACTTAGGTAATGTTATATCCCTCTGGGGTTTTTTGATGTAGTTGAAGACTAAATAGTTATAATTTTCCTTGGTTATAATAAAAGATAAATTAGATAAGAAACTTTAGACTCACAAATATAGGCCACATTGGGCTACATGAGATTGATCCAGGATAGCAGAGAAACAGAGCCAGGCAGTGGTGGCATACACCATTAATCTCAGTACTTGAGATCTTATGCCTTTGCTTGGGAAGCACACACTCCTTTAATCCCAGGAAATAATATGGCAGGGCAGAGAAAGGTATATAAGGTGTGAGGAAACAGGAACTCATTCTCTTTAGGCTGAGTATTTCGTAGAGGTAAGAACTAGTGACTGGCTGTTCTACTTCTTGAAACCCACTCAGGCTTCTACTGTTCTATACAGAAGCAGTCAGCTTCACATCTAAATTGTCATTGTCGGAAGATTTAGTGAGACAATTGGGACTTCTTAAAAGAAGAAATTAGTTAAAAAAGTATTTTTTCCCCCACATTAAAAATGGGAAACATTTTTCCAATGGAGGTAATTTGGTCCCTGTTTGATAATACAACTGACAGTCTGAAAATGGAACAATTAAATGAGAGGATAATTAATGTAGATAGGATTTATGTAATATCAATTATAAATATTATTTGTTTGGTCATTTATATTTTATCATTTAGAAAGTTAGTTAATGTGAGTGCCAAGATGAAAATTTTAGAAAAGTTTGTTAAAACAGGTCATAGAGCTATTCAGGCCCAGACAGAAGAATTTAAAGGTGAACCAATCTCAGCATTCCATTATATGGTTACAGAGAAATACAGCATGAGGCTTTCAAACAGTCAACCTTAATCTATCCCGTAACCTTACAGGAACTGCCAAATGTTCGAGGCTGTGTAAGAGCTGACTGGACTCCTGGGCAAATGTTAGATTGGAGAAGATTTAAAGAAGCTATAGTGTCATATGGTATGCATTCCTCATTTGTGAAGTAGATGTTAAATTCGTGGTCAACCTGTAATAGACTAGAGGGATTTCATTACAGTTGTCTTAGAAGGCAGTCCACAGTTACAACAGAGAACCTGGTCGAAAGAGGAGGCTAACACTATAGAACAAGGAAGTAGGGCTAGAAGTATGGAAATCTCCCAAGGTCAACTTCTTGGAGAGGGAGATTATGATAATGTAGAAAGGAAATCTCTGTATGATGACCACACCCTAGCATTATGCCAAATGGCAGCGTTGAATGCTTGGAACAGAACTGAAGAAGTAGAAAAGAAAATTGAGTCATTTACAAAAGTTATACAGGGCCCAAAGGAAACCTTCACTGGTTTCTTACAAAGGCTATCTTCAGCAGTAAATTGAATGATACCAAATTCAGAAGCTAGACAGATAATAATTGAATTTCTGGTTTTTGAAAATGCTAATGCACAATGCAAAAGGATAATTAGGTCATTAAAGGCAAGATCAGCACCCTTGGAGGAATGGATCCGAGATACAGTGAATATTGACTCTCTTGACCATGATGATACTTGGATAGGAGAGGTGATTTCCAGAGTTTTGAAGAAAAATAGTAATGTCAGATGTTTCAACTGTGGTAAACAAGGTTGCTGTGGGACAGTCTGTATGTCAAATTGCTCTGATTGGTCAATAAATAAAACACTGATTGGCCAGTGGCCAGGCAGGAAGTAGGTGGGACAAGGAGAGAGGAGAAT